AATTAGGTACGTACGTACGTGCGTGAGTGCGTGAGTGCGTGCGTGCGTGCGTGCGTGCGTGCGTGCGTGCGTGAGTGAGTGCGTGCGTGCGTGCATGCATGCATGTATGTATGTATGTGTGTATATATGTATGTATGTATGTATGTATGTATGCGTGCGTGCGTGCGTGCGTGCGTGCGTGCGTGCGTGCGTGCGTGCGTGCGTGCGTGCGTGCGTGCGTGCGTACGCGGTGCATGCATGCATGTATGTATGTATGTATGTATATATATATATGTATGTATGTCTACGAACCATGCCGCATCCTCGCCGTATGAAGTGACCACGGTGGCGCCACAGTACAGTGGAATCGCTAACCCCTCAACCACGGAATCCTCGTATTCTAGTTGCATAGTATAGTTATAGATGGCAGGATGAAATGGCGGCGTTAGCTTGCCTGGGTATATGTGCAATGCTTGAATGGTCCTTCCATCACCACGTTCTGTGCGTAGAAACATCAACTACTATTTAAGTAAATAAAAGTATCTCATGCTTCAGTGATAAAAACTTGCTAATATGACGTTTTACGCACTTTTACACATATGAATAATAATAATAATGAAAAAATGAAATATAATGAAATAAATGACTAAATTAATTGCAAAATTAATTGGTAATATCAAGAGCCTATTAAGAATGTAGGAAATAATTAAGCATGCTTAATACGCTCTTGTTAATATATACTAAATTTACTCATAATTCGCATGCGTTTCATACGATAAAGGGTGAACAGTATACCTTGACTGCAATACGTGGCGTTGGGTTTCCATACGAGATCACCCGCTCGTTCCCTGAGCGTGTGACGGCAGTTATTCGAGTTAGACCACCGAGCGCTTCCCTCATTGCACAACGGCCTCAGCTGTATGAAAATGATTCACAGTATTCTATCTACAGTGGCGATCATACACACGTACACTGACAAAGGCGTCGGAAGCAATAAAATAGTGCCGCGGCTTTCAGTGGCGTACGCAGGATTTTCGAAAGGGGGGTGTTAGGAGCACGCGAAGGGGGGGGGTCTGGGTTTTTTGAAATTTGCATTCCACAGATGCGTTTTCTGCGCGAGCATGGGGGGTCCGGAACCCCTGGACCCCCCCCTGTACACGCCCCTGGAAACTGTAGACACTGATACCGTGTGCGCTTGCACTGACGGGTGGGGTCCCGGGGGTAGATTCATGATTCATCAAGCTGCGTACGCAAAATATTTTGCGCCGGTAAATCTTGTGTGCGTACGCAATCGACGTTGCTTAAGCCCTGTCTACACTA